CAACACTCTTCTCCAGCACCACAGCTCAAAGGTATCAATCCTCTTTCTATCAGCCCTATTCACTGTCCAACTCTCTGATGCATAGCACATAACTGGGGCAGGGATGAGTAGAAACCCATTTGGCAGAACGTAACAACAAAAACAATTTCATAAATGCGGCAGTGTACACTCTACACCCCGCCTGAATCTACCCCTTCATGCTAAAACATGTGTCATAAGGGAGTTTTGTTACTTTATATTCGTTCATTGATATATACCTAAGTGAACATACCAGGTGTAATGTGTAGTCCTAAGTGGAGGCTGATGGTGTTACTTGTATTACAGCAGAAGGTCCTTCCTACCACTCCACCCTCCTTAGGCCTGTTAAAAGCGTCTCAGCAGAGAACCTCTCAACCAAGCCCACAGGTCGTTTATCAAAATTACCTCGAGTTTCTCTCCTTCCTGAAATGTTTTATGGCTCCCAGTTGATTTCGGGTTAAAATCCAAGCTCTCTGGCCAGGTATTTATTGATCCGGAGAACCACCCCATCTCCGCCCACAGTCTGACCTTCCTCTCACCCAATCCCTCCCTCACCCTGTCCTCCAGCTGCTCCAAATCACTGGGATGGGCAGGTCCCGAGGGATCCTGGAGACCTTTTCTTCTGGGAAAGACTAAGGAAAGGAGGAATAAGTCGGGCTGCTCCTTGGAGGCAAGGATTAGGAAGCTTTGGACATGTCACAAGGAGGGAACAGTCCTTGGAGAGGGACATCATGTTTGGGAGGGTGGAAAGACAGCACAGGAGAGGAAGACCCTCTATAAGGTGGATTGATTCAGTGACTGGGGCAATGGGGGTGGGTGTGTCGGAGACAGTGAGATTGGCACAGGATAGGGCAGAATTTAGGGCTGTTGTACATAGGGTCACTATGAGTCACAGGCGACTCAACGGCACATAACGACAACAACAATATAAAAAGCAGGAAGCAAACATGACAATGAGCTAAAAGAAGGAAGAGAGGGCAGAAATTACAATTCATGGTTTCACCCCAGCAACAGAACCAGTGCCTGCTGGCCATGGCTGCTTTTGGTGTTAGGGACCATAGACTGAGACTCACCTTGGCCCTACCTTGAGCAGTTCTCACAGTGTCTACCCATTGTCACAGTCTCCGTGTGAATCCTTCTCCTCTCTTTTGCTGATAGTTGAAATTGTTAGGTGCCATCAAGTTGAGAACAATTCACAGCGATTCTATGAACAACAGATCTGAACCCTGTCCTGTCTTGTGCCATTCTCACAATCTCTGACATGCTAGAACCCACTATTGTGGTGGTCACTGTGTCAACCCACCTGGTTGAGGGTCTTCCTCTCCTTCACCATCTCTCCACCTTCCCAAGCATGACGTCTCCGTCCAAGGAATAACATCTCCCAGCAACATGTCCAAAGTATGTGAGATGAAGCTTCACCGTCTTTGCCTCCAAGGAGCACTCTGGCTGCACCTTCTCTGAGACGTATCTGTTTGTTCTTCTGCAACCCATGGAAAATTCAATACTCTCCTCCAAGTTCAAAGGCACCAATTTTTCTTCTTGCTGACAGTTAGACAACAGTCATTTTTTTTAGAATGTTACTTTATCTTTTTTATTATAATAGTTTATACAATTTGAATACATTGTTTTCCAGAACAGGTTCTTCCAATTTCCTTCATTCTTCCACACTTCAAATTGTCCGATTCCATGATTGTGTCTCTTTTTTAAAAAAAATTATTAATTTTAATGAACATTTACAGAGATTTTGGATTTCCATTCATTCATTGTTGCACTTTTCTC